TATCTTCTTTTTCAGCTCTAGGATGGTGTTTGAGTAGAAGACATTTCCCTCCTAAGGAGCAAGTTGGATATCAGAAAGTAAATGGTACCGTACGTAAATAAGATAGTAAAACAAAAAACATTATAATCTGAGTCCCTCGTGAGGGTTCGAACCTTACGCAGTCAGCCCAAATACGGCGATCCCAGCTGGGTGGAGAGTTTCGTGCGCTCCACTCAGTGCTTGTTTGTTTTCGCGTCCCGAGGAGAGGTGCAGTGCAGATTGCCCATACTTCGGTCTCACCCTCTGGTACCTCGGCGTAAGCTCGTATCACTTTTGTTTTTATGTTTTTCATTTTTTGCTTCCTTTTTGTTTGATACGAGCAATAAGCCGTTAAATAGGTCTCAAACCCGGAGGCCAGACCCATTTCAGGTGTCGGCTGTAACCACCAAAGGACTGTGTCTGTATTCAAGCGGGGATTAAGTATTTCCTCTTTTTTTCGGCACATTTGATATTCAAAGTCAAAGACATACAAACAGCTATAGTCAGTTTGTAGAGTATGTCCTTCATAACTTAACATTGATGAAAATAACACTTACAGAACACAATTATGGCGACTGAAGCTTCCAGAGCTTACCTTGAGAGGGGCTACAAGAGTTAGTTGTCTGTTATGTCGGTCCACAATTAGTTATCTCTCAAAAGATTGCACATCAGTTTGTCAGGTGAGCAGAAAATGAAACACAGCTAGGCCAACGTCGTTATGGATTCAAACCTTAAACCTCAAAACTTATAGTTATTGTTCTTATATCGTACTAAGCATTGTATTTTGTTTTCCTCTTGAGTGTGTGTTCAACAGGTTATACAGATGCAGTGTTTGATTTTCAAGAAACAAACTCCTGATCAACTTAGGTTGGTTTTTTTTAAGTTGGTAATCTATTTGTCCCATCAACATGCCTAGGCATATACTGAGACCTGCTTTGCTGTTCAGGTTAAGACTGGATGAGAGATCCTACTGTTCAAATGAAACTTTGTTTAAACTAACAGTATATGTGTATATGCTTCCTTGATATTACATTCCTCTTTTCTATCTTTTCCAGGTTTTTTTCTTTGCAGGGTTTGGCTCAAAACCCACCTTCTACTTTCTGCCTTTCTCTCAAAGGAAGCAGTTCAAAAGTTGCGATTTCAAAGCATCATGCGTTTGTCAACAAGTTGTCATCAACAAGGAAGTGGTGTAACCATTGCAGTGTCTATGTATGATCTGGTCATTGAAAGGGGAGCAGTTTTTAAAGCTTCAGTCTCATAATATGTATGATATGATCGTCAAAAAGGAAAATGATAAGTAATGATAAGCACAATAAAAGATAAATAGATCAATCTAAAAATTATGAATGAAAAAATAAAAGAAATAATTAAAATAAATCAAACATAAACAATAAAACATACCATACTTACCCTCTGCCCATACTTAAAATACTTTACGTTTGTGCCTTCCTTATCCGAATGGTCTATTGTTGACTTAACTTTGGGTTTCAAGACTTAATGATTCATTGATAATTATATGTTTAACGGTGCAATGAAAAACATTTTTATTGGTTTTGATACCGACCAACAAATTAATGCTACAACAATACTTCCGACCCCTGAGTTAAGACTTTGGATCTCAGACATTCGATTTTTGAGTAAAGTTTTAATTTCCGACTTTCGACTCTTCTCACTTCAGACTTCGGATTTCGGACATTCGATTTCGGAAATATCGGAGTTCGGAGTTTTATGTCCGACCATTGACGTAAAATTTTCTCACTTCCGGTAACGGACCTCTAATTTACGACTTTCGACTTGTGAGCCTCATATGTCCTATGTCACTTGTCCGCTGACTGCGAACTTTCGATATCCGATTTTCATTCCTTAATTGCTACATGTAGACCTTCGACTTAAATGTTCGATCTTCCTTATTCCGATTCGACGCAAAAGTACCATTTTCATCGTCCACTAAGCTGGAGGGTTCGACTTTCTTCTTTTGGCAGGAGCATAAGTTATGTAAAAAAAGAGAGGTACAGCAGTAACCGAGATAAGAGGGAAATTAACTTTTAAGATGACAAGTTTACAAAGATTTAACCCTTTAAACCCAAAGAATGACCGGCATCTAATTTCTCTCACAGTACCACTCCTGAATCAGGAGAATAAAGAAAATGAAGTACAATTTAAAGAGCTCTTGGTTAGTCAGCACCACAGGGGATGCACGGAGGACATTATGAATTAAGAATGTGAAGTGATGTTGGGGTATCGAGGGTTAAACAAATAAGACAACAGTTTGTGTTATCTATAAACGGTTTATTCCATTTCCAAAACCATAAAAATTTCTAAAGGTTAGACAGTTAACCTCACAACCATAAAAAACCAAGACCATGTAATTGGGTGACATTCAGGTAACTAAGGCGACAGTGTCCAGTCCAAAAACAAAAATGTTGAATAGTAATTTTAATGTTGTGCGGCGGTAACAGTTTACAAACTATTAGGAAAAGAATGGATTTTTTGTATTATTTTGCTTTTATCAAATAAAAAAGGAAGGACTTTATGCAGTGTATTGAGTTTTTTGAGGGCCTCTCCCCCTTCAACCTTAAACTCTAGGCCAGCTCTGACACCTGCAAGTAATAAGAACGAAAAATAACGAGCTCATGTTAGCATCACGCCTTTAAATCTGTTATCATGGATTTGCACACCGATTATTTTAGTGAATATTCTTGATGTCGACAACCTAACTGCAAATGTAGCCTCGAGAATCTGCTCTACCCGCCCTTGCGACAGAATTCTATCAACTCGAAACGCGCAGGCCAAAGTATTGATTAAATGGACCTTACTCTACAGAACACAGGGGTCAAAAGTCTGCGCATGTGTGACGTTGCAAAATTGTCTCATCTGAGTAACAAACAACCACACCGTGAAAGCATTTAATCAACGTGTTTCAGGGGGGTTTCACGTTTTGGGCAAAGCTCAAAACAGTATGGTAACTCAACAGGATACCCGTACTTGTCAAAGCTTGAGTAATCTTTGTGTTCTAAAAGTCTCCTTTTTTCCCTTTCCCTGCCTCTGTTTCCATTTATAGATTTATGAGAACTTTTAAATTTTCTTTCGCTTATGTTGTGAGGCAGCGGTTGTTTCTTTCGAAGAGAATCGGTAATGAGATATTGAGAGTGGAAGGGTAAATGACAGTTGCATATGCTCTGAGAGCTATCGTAAGCGAGGAGTGCTGTTTATACATGTGTATATATATAACTAACTGCAGACAGTACTGTTTCGGCCTTCTGGGCCTCATCAGTGCAGTGCTGATGCTAGGATGGAGGTAAGGCCATATAGCCACCCCAAGTGATCTCACATATGTGGTATCACCTAAGCCATGCCAGAGTGCTCAAACTAGAAAAACTAGTGAGCATGCATAATGCTAGCAGCAATGACTCATCCTAGTAGAGTGCTCAATTTGGACATGAAAGCAAAGCTTTGTATGCCAAAGAGCTATATCTATATATATAAATGTATGTATGTGTGTGTGATAAAACTTCTGGGAGGCAAATATGATTTAGCAGTTAGCCTCTCAACATTTAAATTTCGTTTACCTTTGCATGTGGGTATGTAGATAAATAACACTGCGATCGCCGCCATGACATTGAGAATATAATATTTTCAAAACACACAAAAGCTTGTCGAAACTATATTACAGCAAATTGGATTCCTGGAAAGATCCCCTTAAAGTCAAAAGAAAATCCATTTTCGCCAAAAGCGGGGTTAGAGTTGTTTCATTATATTAAATAAATTACCTGTAGAAGGTGCATCGTCGCAGCGATCAACTGAATTGGGATGATACAAAGAAATTCTTTTCAATTATATGGAAATGAAAGCTTCTCGATAAATGAAGAGTCTGCCAATTTGCGATCAAATCTCGTTTTCGTTTTTTTCTCAGACGTTCCAATTCACCTGTAAGTAAAAGATACTTGGACTATGAATAATAATTGTATCTAACCGTTATTTCACAAAAATGCTGGTGATAAAGGTGACCAACTCAAAGACTGCTGACAACGAAATTTTTTCTTAGCTTTTTCATTATTGTTAGTTTTTTTCCTTTGTTTCAACTTTCTTGTACTTATTGTTCTTCCTTTCTTTTTCGTTCCGTTAATTAAACATGATGAAACGATGGAGTTACCAATTAATCTGTGCATATTCGAGTTGTTTTCATTTCGCTGCAGCGATATTTTCAATTAAATTTAATTTGAAAGAAAAAAAAACTTTAAACTGTTTGATAGCTCTAAGACCCACGGAGTCCTTTGTAATCTTTACAGCTGATAACATCCTGTATCTTTCCACTAAATCATTCTTTAATCGTTACAATCTTGTGAGGATATTTCTTGAACCAGGTGAGTCTAAAATTGGACTATATTTTAGAAAACGTAACGTAGGTTTTCGATCAGCGAGTGCTAATACCTTTGCTAAATTACCAAGAACTGACAACTCTGACCTAAAGTGAATAGCCAATCTGTTTTAAGAGTATGTTCGTTCATTTTTTAATCTACAATATTGATATGACCGGCGCTATTGACCATCGTTTTCAGGTAGAGGATAACCCTTGAGCTCAAAAGCAAATTTTACCGTTTGAAGCAACTGACCCTACGACATGTAAAACAAAACTCGACAATCAACGTATCATAATCTGTTTTTGGACCAACATGAGTGAATAAAAGTTCCCATAGCCTTTTCATTGCTCCTTTCCAGTTTAGTGTAAAATGAGCTCTATCCTTTTCGTATAATTTCGTTTCTACATGTGACTTTCTTTTTTCCTCATTTGTTCCATGTTCAGCAACTCATTCATTCATTCGATAACTCCCTTTTAAACACCCATGCCCCTCTTTAGGTTTCTATTTTTCATCTTAGCCTTCACGGCTCGAACCCCAATTGATTTCGGTGTGGAAGTTCAGTGCGCAGAGTCGGGGTGGAAAGTTTGGACTGATGAATATTCCTTCTCTTTGTTAGCAAATCATGAAGGTGTTGTTCTTAATCACTGCAATCCTATTCGTCCAATTGACATTGGGAACAGACAACAACTTTTGTAAAAATAGTAAGTACACTTATGTAAGATCACTGCAAAATTTCTAACACGCCCCTACTTAAAAATAAGCAAATTTAAATCCAAAAAAAGACTATTGAAGCCTCTGTCCCTTTCGTATCTTAATGCAGACCCTCATAACTAAAGGAAGCATGCCTAAGAATTGACTTTTTTCTAACTAACGAGTCATTTGGTCCTAAAATTTAAAACTGATAGGGTGTGATACGCAAGGTAATTTGGTAATATCAACAGAGTTAATAGCATAAATTGGCCACCGTTAAGATTTTCAAAGCTGACATTTCGAGCGTTAGCCCTTCGTCAAACCTTGTTAAAAAGTTGCAGCACTCCTTACTGAGGGATGGCGCAGTGGTGAAAGCGCACGCCCCCAACCGTTGTGGCCCGGGCTCGATTCCTGGGTCTTCCGTTTTCCTCCCTTCACAAACACTACCATTCCAATTTCAGTTCGGCCTGAAAACAGTATACAAGAAGAGCCATCTCCTGGAATCGTGAAATGTCCACTGTCAAATCCCATTGTTATTATTTTAAATATTATTTATCACGAATAATATATAATTTTATTTTTCAAGCCCCTCTTCCAAAGATTAAGCTCAACAGCTTCACTGTCAGTGATTGTGGCAGTGCTCCTGGACAAATATTTGAAGTAAAAATATCCAGTGTGAAGACCCCGATTTGTCTGAAAGGCGATTTTCACATCTCTGGGCAACATCCAGGCCGGTTTTCTATCGTGTACAAGGCAGCGATTTCTGGGAAAATCATGGGTTTTATTCCTTACGCTTTAGACATCCCACTTTGCAAAAATCCAGACGGTGCGAAATCATGGTAAGTCTCTTGGACACCTAACTGAACTGCAACATGTTGTAAAACAGTTAGCGAGAAAGTTTCCAAACTGTTATTTTAATTAACTCGCTTTGTCACTCGCTTTATCCTTTCACCCTCGATTCGTAGAAAATTTTCATTGTCAGTTTATTTAAAACAGTAAAATAGATTTATGCCTTTACATTGGTGAAGAAAATTATCATACAAACTCTACTTATAAAGTGCACCCCCTTCCCTCCCACTTCTTTGCTTGTGATGAAAGATACACCTTAAACCAGCAGAGTGCTTCGTTTCTCTTGTTTCTCTTGATGGGACCTCCGATGTTAAAAATTTTTGTGTATCGTACATTCAATTTAATTTATTTCCTTTTACGATTTATTTTCGGAACTGTAAGTAATAAAATGCACCAACGTTTAGGTGCTTACCTACAGCTACAATTCCTGCTTTTCATAATTACAGGAGACAGGAGGCCAGAATTGCATCAAAAATGTTGTTCTTGTGACGCTGTGATACTGAAAGTATGGTGTTTTTTTGGGACAGCTCTTATCCCAAGACCATCCTCACTTTAAACTTTCTAAAATTCCCAATTTTCTTTCGGGGAAAATAAACGTTTCTTTATCCTGAGATTGGTGAATGCTGTTGAAATTCTTGTAAACGAACACCGTCCAGATATAGATAGAAAAAGTTCCAGTGAATTTGCTCCTTGCCGCTTGCAAGATGTTATTGTGTGACAAAAGAATTTACATAGAACGTTAAAAATGGAATGTTCTCAGGCGGTCGCCAGCAAAACTATCCGCCTATGAAATTATTTAACATTATTTAATACCTCCACTTGGTTAATGACCAGGCGATGTCGTTACTCTAAATAAATAACACGACTCCTTCTTAAAGTTGATTTATTCTCTTGAAGTTATCGGACAGTTGAATTCCAAGAGTATCCTCAGTTTAAACTTTCTAAAATCCCAATTTTCTTTAGCAGAAAATGAACGTTTCTTGATTCCGAGACGGGTCAAAGCTTTTGAAATTCCTGTAAACGAACACCTTCGAGACGTAGATAAAAAAAAGAGAGTTCCAGTAAATTTGCTCCTGGCCGCTTACAAGATGAAGGTTAAAAATAGAATTTTCTTAGGCGGCCTCCAGCAAAACTATCCGCCTATGAAATTATCTAATGGGAATACCTCCACTTTGTTTCCTTTCCTGAAAATGACTAGGCGATGTTGTTACTTAATTAAGTTGGACTCGAGTCCTTCTCAAACTCGATTTCTTTTCTTGAAGTTATCAGACAGTTGACTGCGAAGAAGTAAAAGAGCTTCTTGGAGGTACTGAACAATTTTCAAGCGAGATGTATTCTTGCGTTTTTGCTTTACTCTTTGCTTACATTTTTGTTTGATACTTTTGTTAGCTTGTTTGTTTGTTTTTATATTCTCTGGCTAAATTGTTGGCATGCTCGCTCGTTTGTTAGCTTGTTTTTGATACTTACTTGCCCACTTGTTTAACTGCTTGTTTGCATGATTGCTTGGTAGGGTAATTTTTAACTAAGAGTCGAAAGTAATCAGAGACTGCATTGATTTTACTTTACTTCGCTCTACAATTGGTCCAGATAACTCGCGCCACTCTTTCAACCAATCAGATGCAAAGCTCAGACCGATTAGGACTTGATTACCCGTGTTTTCCCCCGCTTTAGAATTTTGTTGTTTTTACTTTGAGTTTTCAACTGTTCTTAAAAGGCGATTCCTATCCTCTGATTGGCTGTTGTGGTTAATTTTTGTTTTGCTTTCACGATACTCAATCGAAAAGCACTCTATTGTTTGAATTGATTTTTCCTCTCGCTTGCTTGTTCACTTGCTGGCATATTTAGATACTTGCTAGCTTCTTTTCATTAGCCTTATTAGTTATTTCCTTGGTTGTTTAGTCCACGCGTAATGCCGACAGTCATCACTCTCTTTTTTCATCCCCAGATCCAAACGCAAAGGTTGAAAACCATGCCTGCATCTTAAAAACTGGTGACATTAAATTTCTTATCATGGCAAACATGAAGGGACCTTTGCCAGTTTCGTCATCTGTCGTAGTGAGTAATTACTTTGCAGAAAATTTGTAAGGAGTAGAAATGTGTCACTCATTCTTGTAGACTTAAAAACAAGCCTATTTATTTCCAATTTATGAAACGTCATTTGCCAGGTGTGGTCAAACAATTACCCACGTGATTTCAAATTTGATTTCAAATTTGGTATGAAATGGGTTTCCTTCACTTTGATCATTTCTAGGCAAGTGACTTTTTTTGAAAAACGTCAAACCCGTGATAGTTCCTAGTTCATTTCTAGTGCGCACCATATGAAGATTCAAACAGGTTTAGCCAACTTTTTCCTTGAGAGGAGACGATTCAAAGCCTTAGGGTTCTCTAGCTAGTACATGACTTTCAGTTTGCATAATATGGCAGAGGGGGTATTCAACTAAATTATCACCAAATGTAATAGTGGTTTGAATGACTGTCAAAGTTTGAATATCATACATGAGAATTGCAAATTAATAACAACTACTTAATTCAATCTTATGATGTTAGCTTGGAGATTTGGCTTTGGATCAACTAATAGCCTAATTGATATTTTTCTTTATTCTCATCCCATGTCTCCTTGATATTGTATTGATATTGTGAGGAGAAATTCTGTCTTGGTCACTCGTGGGGGTCAAAGGGTTAAGCAGTGTTCATAATCGCGAAGATCACTGTCGCATTCATTTCAAATTTATTTATCATTGTAATCCTCGCAAGTGAGCCGAAATTTAAGCGACTGCCGAAAAGAAGCCTGAAAAATTCAGGCTTCGACAGGATTCGAAAACTGTGCCATTCAGATACTGGTCGGCCGGCTATTACCAACTGACCCAACTGAGCTACGAGGCCGCACGTTAGGGGCGAGGCAAGTTTTAGAGGCTTCTTATTTCTTAATTCTATCCTTTGCCTTTTAGGCCGGAATATCGAATACCAAAGTGAGCACTCAGGTGGATGCAACAGATATTCACCTGCCAAACAATTACGTCAAGATTGCATGTATCGGCCAGGACATGGCAATTAAGATTAAATCTTAACACTCTCAGGAGCTGTGGAAAACATAGAGCAGTTGAGGAGTGTGTTGTTCTAAGAATAAAAGCACTGAATTGAGTTCTGGTCTTATGTTGTGCTGTGTTAGGACAAGTAAACTTATACGGTCAAGCACCAGTTGTCAAGTTAGCCAATGCAAGGAGTTTCGTCAATAAACTGAGACGCCAAATAAAGCGACTAATAAATAAGAGAGGGGGTGCTTGGTGGAGGGGTTGGAAGTTTCCTCTAGTATTTCTATTTTTTCCGTTTTCCTTTATTTTTTCGCGCATGAATGCTTTTATGTAATGAAAAATACACCAAAAAAGGTTCAAAATAAAACATCTAGCGATAATTTGGACAGGAGAGTCCTTAGTCAATATAACCCGCCAGGAAATGATAGGTCATCACTCGATAATATTCTACCAGCGAAAATTTCCAATTTTAAACGAGAAAAGCGATCTTTAGTAGTAACACTTTCTTTACGCGACTTAAAGAGCTTTTTTCTATGCGAAAGGAAATCGTAACCGCGTTGAAAACAACAAGAAATGTTTTCTTTATTACCTATGCCTAAAATGTTTTTGTTTAATCGCAGTACAGATTATGGAACTGTACCTAATCCAGAACGGACCTAAAAATTGAAAAAAAAAAAAAATTTAAATTCTCCTCAACATCTTTCGAGATGAATGAAGCTCAGAAACCAAGTTTTTTTTTCTGAGAACAAGACCAGAAAAAACAAATAAGAAAAGGAGATGAATGAAATTATTTTCATCAGTCAAGCCCTTCGTTCGCTTGTTTTGATTTATCTAGAATTTGGCTTTCTCTTTTGTTGTAGTTGTTGTCGTTATATTTTCGCCCCTTTTCCGGCTCGGACGGGGAAAGTCTGATTTGAGTGAACAATTTCCAGCTTCGTTGCTTTAAAAACGTCGTCAAATTTGAGCCAGGTAGGCTAAGTGGTGAAAGAAAATTTTGCGTAAAATGTATTCATTAGCGTGGCAGGTTGATTCTCCCTGTACATGTTCTGTATCCATGGTAACTTGGGTTAAGTCGAGGAAATTATTTTGCCACTTTCAGCGAGAATGTAAACATCACCTTGTTTCCCTTTTCTCGTCATTTTGAACAAAAAGCGCAAAAATAACATGCTTCAGGGCACATTGTTGCATCCTGGCCGTAGGTTTTATTGCAGTTTCCATTTTATATGACTTAAGCAATATATTGAGAGAAACAAGGCCTGAAATAGCGGCGATAAGTATTTTATGTTTTGGTGACTCTCTCACTGTGGGCAGTATGGACACGAGTTATACACATCATCCTTATTCTACAAAACTACAAGAGTACTTAAACGCTCGCGACCGGAGAATGCTGGATGAAACCGTAAAACCAGTCTTCAAAGTTTCCCCGCAGGATTACCAAGCGAAAGAGCTAAACCGCGTTTGAAACAACTTCTTCAAGATTTAAAAATAACTTACTACCGGGTGATTATTCATGGAGGAACAAACGACTTAAAGAAATACGAAGAGAATTCTTCATTCGACTTTTACGATGTACTGTCTATTTTTAACGCACTGGTGAAACTTCATAACGTATCTCATACATTTGGAGCGAGGTCAGTAGCTGTCTCTATTCCAGAAGTAGAATGCGAGATATCAGAAACTTGTCCTAATTTTAAGAAAGCTCGTAACAAAATCAACGAGCCTCTCCAAAGTTTGTCGCCCGTAACAAGAGGTATATGGTTCCAACCGACTTCGCAAACGAGATCATGTATCGTTCCCGCGATCAGAATCTTTGGAGTGGCCCAGTACATTTCTTACCTGCGGTGTTCAGGTCAAGATTAGAACAAAAATCTCCCGTTACTGAATGTTTAGTTTGTTGTGTTTTTGTTTTGTTTTCTATGAAAGAATCTATGATAAGAATAGATAGCTGGTTCGTTTCCATTGCCATGACATTTTATTTCTTAGCACTAAGTGCGGCGAGGGTTCCTCTTGGACAGTGCTCTGGAGTTTCGTTGCTGTAGAGTAAAGGCAGAGACTATCGTCGTCGATTCCGCGGTCAAACGGAAAACGAGTGAGTTTATAGTCATCAGGTTCAAGTTAATCTCAAATAGGGCTTTTAATAGAGAAACCTTCTTTAGTCTAAATGTAGCATTGCCATATGACCCATATCGCTCGATGGCAAATAACTGACACCAGCATTGTAAATGAATATTTCGTATGCATCGACTTTCACATAGTACTTGGTAACGTTACCATCCAATTCAATAGCATCTGTGTTTCTCTATTTAGCTCATTTCATTGCTGTTATCACAATGACGTTGCTACTGTTGCTACTTTTAATTTCTTGAGGGCAGGGTGGAATTGGGAGGTTAGAGAAACTTGCTGCGAGGTTTACTTTTACCGAATAAAAAATTTGGATTGTCTGTTCATTTACACAAGCTAAATAAAGATTTAATCCTCCTGAATTTAGCTCTGTGATATGATTTTAAAAAATTTTATTAAGCTCCGAATTATCATCCAATCAAAGACCAGTTCGCACATCAGGTACAGGTTCTTAACCCTTTAATTCCCTTGGGTGACCAAGACGGAATTTCTCCTTTCTATATCAATACAACATCATGCAGAGAAGTGTTGAGAATAAAGAAAAATATCAATTATGGAATAACTAATTGATCCGATACCAAATTCTCCAAACTAAGATAATAAGACTCATTTGGCAGACAGTTAGGAGAATTACTAATGCGATCTTGGGAGTTAAAGGGTTAAACTCATTCAGTCATTGTCTTTTTGCGTTGTACTCTACTAAGGCACACTAATTTCAAGCACACTGATTTCAACCAATCATATACTTTGCTAAACTGCGTTGACGTATTTCATTGGTTGATTGTCCATTTTACAGTTGCGTGTTTGGTTGCCAAGCTTTTGAGGAGGAGTGAGGCTAAGGGTGACCTTATGATGATACAAACGTTGCTGTGTTTCAAATATAAATTACTTAGCTAACTAGATACTAGTCTCTATCACATAGCAGTTACTTTCCGCCTCACTCCAAATCAGAAGTTTGGCAACTAAGTACACAACTGTAAAATGGCCTATTGCTGAGCTTTGTTTGCAAAGAACAGATATTAAATGGATTAATGGCGGCAGGAGGTTAGCTCGGGCACCATATACTTTTATGAATATTGAGAGGCGATTACTTGAGTTTCATTTCTTTTAGCACCCCAAAGCTAGAAGATAATCGCAGTTGAACGTTTTGTATTTTGCACATTCTGTCATATTACCAGGACAAAACATGTGGGTAAACAATAGCTTTTTATTAAACATTTGGGGATTGAAAAGAATTCCATCTTAATGAGATGTTCCCGCCGCCATGAGAAGTCTTCTCATTCTAACATAGCTCATGATCTGGGTAAAACTCTTTTCATTGACATAAATTTTGATAGAGCCTATTTTTTAAAAATATTATATATAAATAGCTCAAACTTAGTTTTGACCAGAAAATCCTTATAGTAACCTATCATAGTAACCCATCATAGAAAACTCGATTACTTCTATATCTTGCTTTTATTCTTCGGTTTCCTGTGAAATAAAATAAATAAAATCTTATACTAAGACTTACAGCCTTAATTAGTCGTCAAAAGAAAACCTTTACTAGGCTAGCAAGCACTGAACACTTGCAGTGATAATATTTTCATTTGTTTTTAGCTCTGTTCTCAGAGATCTGACGAAGGGCTAACTTCTGCTACATAGGGTACGAATCAATTGATTGTCACAGAGCTTTACTTGGTTAGCCTCTTGAAGGTGATCTTGTGCAGTGTTATGAATTAGGGACTGATTGGAGATTTCAGTTGTAACTTTGTTGTTCTCATCATTATTTGTTTCTCTAATTAACAATTACCAGCGAGTGTTTGAGGTTTAAAGTTGGGGACTTAAGAGCAAGTCATGTTTCCTTACCCACCTAAACTAATATCCATTCTCTTATCTTTACGGCCTCTAACAAAACTTTTCTCCTCATGTCCCTGTCTCTGAAAAAAAAGAACATGAAAGATAAAAGGTGGAAAAATTAAAATCTTCATCTATTTTAACTTTTCTTTTTCTTTGATATCAAGCTTTTCATTATGATATTTTTTAAATTGATGTACATTATTACACCTTGAAAAATAAATAGACAATAAATCATTGTCCACCAAAAGGGACTTACCTTGATCTCTGGCTGAAACCTCCATCATTTGGATGGGGGATTCCCGTAGTATCCTAATTTTGAAAAAAAATAGATTTTTTTCCACTAGTGAGCAGATTTCTTAAATCTTCCACATACGTTCTACATCCAGATTATCTGCCTTTTGACTCAGTTTGAGCTGTGGTGCACGTTAGTGTTTAATTGTTGATGCACATCATAAAAATGAGCGAATTTGAATTCTTGAAACCCTTAACAGTAAAAATAGATTCGAGTCGAAAAAATTATGCACCACTGATTGATTTTCATAATTAACTCGTAGTAGGAAAGCATGGTTTACCTGCACGTTACCGAGAATTTCAGGTATCCCACTCATTTCAGCAGACAGTATATCAGGTGCATTCGCTGGAAGCTGTAGTAAAGAAACGCCATGAAGAATGCTTACAAGGAAATGTTGCTGTGATAGTTATCAATAAGTAATGTCACCTCCACCGGATAAATGCGTAATAAAGTGTTACAAAAATGATAGTTTGTTCGGTTTGAGAATATTGAAACAAATTTTAATTTTTTCCAATAGATGACCGCTCTGCCCACCAACTGATAAAGCATATTAAGTTTTCAGTAACTGTGTTCTATTTATATATATAAATTTTTCCTACATTCATTGTTCCTGGCGAGGAGGCTTATTTTGAGACCATGGGGCTTTTTACTATAGCTTCCTCCCACCCTCCCTCCCCACTTTACTTAAACTAAAAATACAGTAATCAGGGCAAACAAAGCAAAAGAAAGTGAAAATTACACAAAAATAAAAACAAACGCAGACAGGAACCAAGCAAGTAGAGACATTGGAGACATGCTACAAACAAAAAGTAAAAAATATCTACTTGAAAAGTATCAGGTTAGGAGAAAAACCAGTGTGCATATAGTAACGAAAACGTACTGAAACTTAATATACCTAATTATATCCTAATTACCAAATCATGACACAAAAGAGTCGAAAATTAGATATTAAACTTTTAAAAAAATTGAGTATTGTACGATGCAAACAGATATGAGTATTTAAATTTTAGTTGATCATATTCGTTGGGCATATTGCTTGTCATTTAAAGTATTTCAAACTATTGAGCCGGCTCTATTTTTGCCGTGTATAAATTGTGAGTGATAATAATAAATAATGATAAAACCTTTATTCAAACACGATAAACATTTCAAGCCAGAGGCTTTTGGGGTCGTGTTACAACAAAATTAATATAACATAAATAATATTATGATCATATATCTAATTAAAATATAAGAAACCACGTAACTTAGTTAAAAATTGACAGAAATGCTTTATACTCTTGGAATCTATGTAACAATCTATCATTCTGTTAAATTATATTGAACCTCTCAGATGAGTAATGGTATAAGACACTTACCTGTGGATGTGGTGCTGCCATTTTCCTGACAACTAAGGACCTAAAACAAAACACAACGAGCCCTGAACAAGTCTTCTTTAAGTAGGTTAGAGCTTCATCTACGTTTTATCATATTTACCTCCAAAGTGTAATGTAGTAAGGGACTCGCTTTAATCTGTTGGAGTATTTAACAAGGTGAAAACTTATAATTGGCGTAGCTATGTCAATATTCGCTTTATAAACAGTAAGTTCCGACCGAAGCCGACTGTGAGCATTCTTTGAGGAAAGGTCCCCTAAAACTGATATGATGATTGGAATGGTTTTAAATCTTAATCGTGTCAAAATTTAGAAACCTAAATTTAAGAAATTATAATAGAACTTGTGATTTGTGGGCAAATACTAACCTCACATTGGAATCCTCGCCGTTTCAGAACCCTCAGGACTTTTGATCCACTCGATGAAGGACTGGGTACAAGCATTCGAACAACCAATGGCTTCTCGAATAATCTCTTTCACCACAACATGGCGGTGAGGAAATGAAGACCCCTCTTGTACTAAATTGAAGAGTTGCAAAAATTTAATCTTTAGTCAATATCGTGTTATGGTGTTTGTTGTGAAACACGTTAGTTTCTGTCAGTGTGGGAGAGTGGGTTCTTCTCTCACAATGTGGCCCAAGTTCCTTTCTCCAGCCTTTCATAACTTGTGGATATTTTCGGTCGTTGAACGTTGTCCTTTCTCCTCGTTTTCCAACCTTGAAAAGCAAGTCGCAAAATTCCATTTCGACCAACATCCTCCACGCACTCCTTTAATATTTGGGTAACCAAGTCACATGTTTTTCTCATACATATACATTGTGTATATGTGACCTCGATCTCAAAGATGGTTTGGGGGGCATTGTTAAGATGCTGTAAAAACGTAAAAAATTAGATGCATTGATAAATCTTAAACTTATAGAGTTTGACTTCCAATGTTAAAGATCTTGCCTGGCCTTTAAAGGTATATTCTTTCTTTTTGCTCATATTGGAAGCAATAACCGCCAACTTCGATAACTCCTCTGGAAAACAGAAGTTATTTGATGATGTGGATACGAAATGATGGGTGTCCCAAATGGTCGTAGGCAGCTTTCTTTTCCTCCACCTGCTTTCTTAAGTCTCTCTCTCGTTGGCATATTTAAGGTCTTTGAAAACTTAGATTTAAGGCGTTGATTGGAATCGTGTAAGCACTTCTCGCCTGATATGAAATAAATTGCATCATTTTTGAAGCAACCCCCCTGCAAGGAACCATGCTGACGTTTGAAAATTGAAAGGTAAAAAACACAATAAGCAGCCAATGCCGTTTAACTATATGCTGCGGTCAGATTTAATTTTAAACGTTACAAGGACAAGTGCTCTCATCTAATTGGCTGAACATGTCAACATCCAACGGAGTATTTTTTCCTGTGCTAATGAGTTTACATAATACAAATTTCAAACAAAACCTTATGGGAAAGGAGAATTTATATGACTGCGGAAGTTTCCAGTTTTCCAAGCTAGGCAGTCATTTCATAATAAGTAGATGGTGTTAGGTTTGATTCGTAAAATAAAATTAAAAATTTTAAAGGTAGTACACAGTGAGTCTAAACCTGAGCGATCTATCCAGAATAAAATGAAACCAGGTGTCAGCGCAGCTTGTGGTGTTCAGATGTTTTCGAAAACATTTTCAATTTATGGAAATTAAACTTGTTTTCAATTTCACGAAAGCGAACACAGTTTCTAATCATCGTGTTATGTCGTTCTTTAAGAGAAGAGTGGGAATAAATTAGGGTAGTCGACGTGAAGAGTCAGGTGCTTTTGACACAGAAATGCTTATGCTTTTTCCTTATATATTTGGTTCTCGGTTAAAGCTCAATGCTGTAAATTTTGAGACTGGTTTCCATGGATCACGGAGTTCTAAACCTTTTCTTGTTTTGGGAATGTTAACACTTTAGTTTCTTTTAGTCTTAGTCTACTACGTTGTTGTGCCAGTTATTTTGCCACTATGCTCTCTAAGTCCTATATTTACCGTCCTCGATACAACACGCCTGATGACTTAATATTCGAATATAGCAAAAATAATCGAACAGAAAACTTGTAAACTTACATTTTTTAAGGTCGATGGGATGGGAATGTCAGGCATAGAGCGTGTCTACTGTTTAACCTCGTAACTTCCCGGAGCCAACGGGCATTTGCCCCCTCTAAGAAGTCCATCAGCTTTTCACATCGAATGGAACGTGTGCTTCAGACAACACCAGGTCAGAAAGAAAGAAGAACGCCAATTAAGAAACCGGTCAATTTACATCGCCTGCGTGGGAGGGGGGAAGGGGTTTGGTCTTGCCTCGAAAAAATTTACCTGACCCCAGAAGGCTTTATTATAAATTTCTTGGATCCCCGCCCCCTCCTCCTCCCCATTGGCAGTCAATCGGCAGTCGATTTTCTATAGTCCCTCTTTATACTCTTTTGGCGATGACTGACCCCCGCCCCTCCCTCCGTTCCCCCTGAAAACCATATGTTCCCCCAAAATCCTCTTCCCAACCCCACCCCTCCCCCCACGGCGACTTGAAGACCTTTATTTATGCGAAAGGAACTCTTAACCCCGTTGAAATCAACAAGAAATGGTAATTCATTGCCTGTGTCTAATATGTTTTTGTTTAATCTCAGTACGGATGGATCTGTACTTAATCCAGTACAGATCCAGTCACTCTTTAGGTTTTTAATTCTCTTCCAGATCTTTTGAGGTGGTTGAGGCTCAGAAAGTTCTTTTTTTCATCGAGAACAAACCACAAAAACAAATTAGAAAAGAAGATGAATGAAATTATTTTCATCAGT